TTCTTCGTATTTCCTTGTTCTCAGAGCAAGTTTCCTAGGGCACTGGCGCCACCAAGAGGTTTTAGTGAAATGAATGCTGCTCTTTTTTTTTCAGTGACAAATGTTTCTCCCAAAAGTTTCAATTACTATCAGAGCGGATCGATAGGAGACCCACAGAAGTTCTGTCTTAATTTAGGGGAAAAACGAGGGAGGCTATACGCAGTAACAAATTAATTATATATATATAGTACGTCTTAAGTCTGCTGAATAATTTTGATATGGAATAGTGCAATAACTCATATCGGAGGCCCCAGTTAAATTGTTCGTAATGAGGCTGAATCTTTTGTATTTTAAGCCTGTTCATGCAGATTCTCTCGACGGGTAACTACCCATGCGACAGGAAACAGTTCCTCTCTTTGTGTCAGAGATGTACCCAAGAATGAACCCAATTTATGTCTCCAAATCAAAAGTTAGGCTTAATGAACTTAACTTCGAAGTGCTCCATAAGATTAAAACAAAAATACATCGGACAATTACGAGAAACCACTGCCGGCTTCTGTGATTCAAGCCTATCATTATAGTGCGAATCCGATTTAACTCGTCATTTTTTTTGTGGGGAAAAAATATGTTTCGCGACATTTTAATTTGTGTTTCAGCCCTCAAAACAGAAACAAGACGAGCTGTACAAATGTAACGGAGTATTCAGTTTCACTTCTGTATTAACATATAGGTCGGTTGTTTTCTTTTACAGAATATCCAGTAATTCACTTCGAACAGTAACCTTCCCAGCTGTTGACTAATCTGTCAGCATTCAGAGACAGAAGTCAATCTTAGAACCACGTGTACGAAATTCTTTACATTGTTAAAGAATGCGCTTCATCCAGGCCAACACCCGGAGTGTAACTAACTGTCCATTTTATGTACATTCTTTTATCAAGTTGTCATACATTTATTTGTGAGTTTTTTTTTAATCTTTCGGGCGTTAATGTGTCCAAAAAACTACAATTAGATTTTGTATTTTTTAATATTAAAACGTCAAAATGATTTAACCCTGAACCTATTTCTTAAACGTCGTCATTCTGCCTCACAGCTCTTGAGTCACGGGTTCGATTCTGGATTAGGAGGCCATCGCTGTCTGACATGTTACCGTGGGAACATCGCCACTTAACCCACCTCTCATAAACAAGGTTAAATTGGTGTCTCTGAATTGTCCTTATGTGCCTGTAATCGACT